GTTGTGGTATATTTGAAACAGAGAGATTGTTCTATACAAATTGGTTAAAATAAAAAGTGAGACTGGGGTTGGAATAAGTTCCAAGTATCTGTTAAACTTCTTTATTTGGAATACTTTATTTTCCTATAATCTCATGCCTGCTTCACTCATTTTAACTTACTTCTGGTGAGATTAAACTGATTTTGACTAATAAATAGTTGTTTTAGAAGTTTAATCCAGTTTATTGTTTTCTATAAACTTGGAGTAAATAATTTAGTTCCTATTCTTTTAACTCTATAATATGTCATAAAGGGATACTGACAAAAAATACATTTATTTACCCCTCTTAAGATTGTTTTCTTAATCCATATGGAGGGTTGTGGTTTGTGTGCCTGTGCATGTGTGAGCGATTGAGGGTAGAGGGGCGAGGGTGAGGAGAAGAGAGAGAATAGAGATGGAGATTGGAGTTCCTTCTGTTGCCATATGTCTTAAGTAGAGGTAGGAAATTGAGCCTCACAGCTCTGTGGTTGTCTGCCTCAGTGAAGCATCAATTGAAATTGTATTGGGTTTTAGTAAAGAGTTGCTTTCCCCATCTTCCGTTTGGATGTATGTACCTATATCTTCTCCCTTGTCCTGCCTTCACTCTTATCCTACCTCTGCCATGGTAAATGACTTACAGGCTTTCAGAATTATCTATGCCAGGAGCCTAGAAGAATCATTACTCTGTGGAATGCCTGTGTTAGGCTTTTCTAGAGGGTATGTATGTCATGTGATTGCAATTGAGTAGAAACCAGACTGACTGTCTCTAAGTCTTTGTCCTTTTCACTGGCAGCTCTTCAAGTGGGTCTTGTCTGTGTGTCACCACCTCAGGAAACCAGCAGAATGGCTGCAAACAAGAATAAGAGCCAGAGCTCCTTGGCCCTTCACAAGGTGATCATGGTTGGCAGTGGAGGTGTCGGTAAATCAGCTTTGACGCTTCAGTTCATGTATGATGAGGTAAGATATGTCAGTTCACAGACCGCCTTCATTGTCCTGATTTTGGTTAGTAATGAGTTCCTTAGGAGCCCTGGTAGCACAATGGTTAAAGTGCTTGGCTGCTAACCAAAAGGTCAGCAGTTTGAACCTGCTAGCTGCTGTAGAGATTACAGCCTTAGAAACCCTATGGGGCAGTTTTACTCTGTTCTCTAGGGTCGCTATGAGTTGGAATCAACTTAATGGCAGTGGGTTTGCTTTTGGTTTAACAAGCCCTTAGGTGGTGCAGATGGTTAAGCATTTGTCTACCCACTGAAAGATTGGTTCAGATCTGCCCAGAGGTACCTGGGAAGACAGGCCTAGTGGTCTGCTCCTGAAAGGTCACAGCCTTGAAAACCCTGTGGAGTAGTTCTGCTCTGCACAACAAGAATCATCTTGATGGTAACTAACAACACCAACAGTTTAAACTTTGGCAGGCGTGTCAGGGATCCCTGCTTGTGTTATTTCCATGGTTATACTTGGAGCTCTCTTTTTGACAACGAGAGCAAGAGAGGAGGAAGGAACCTTTGTATTGATGTTTCTAAATAATAGATCTGATATTTAGCTGTGTAATTAGTTTATTTTGAGAGGGATTAAATGGGGTAGCTGAGTTGTCTTAAGAACTTAATCTTTTCTCAAGTGATAGGCATCAAGTTCTCCCTAATTCTCGCATGCAACAAGATAGAGCTGGGCTTTATCTTCACATAATCCCTGTCAAAAGTTACATCATTTACTTAATGTGGCTAATGCAACTGATCTTGAATCCATGTATCAACACAACCTTGATTACTGTGGCAACAAAAGTCCCTGCTTGACTATCTTTTACTTGTGCTGCAGGCAGAGGGTTCAGACCAGAGCTGAAACAGCAGGGCTTCTTACTTGCATTGTGTTTATGTGGACATATGCTTCATAATATTTGTGAAAGAAAGATATCTTAGCACAATCAATTAAGACCACTATCTCTTTTCACTAGACCTTCCCTCTGTCCAACTTCCTCTTATGTTAGCTATCATTAGAGTGCCACAGGCATTTTGAGGCTATAGTTGAGAGAAGTTGAATTAGGGATACATTTAGTTGGAGTTTAGTAGCATATAGTGTTTTAGAGTCACAGTAGTGTGTGGTTATTACTAGCTATCCTGGTGTAGGAATGGCTTCCAGAAATACTCCTACTGCCCACTGTGCTGACTCAGTTGGCATTGAGGAGTGAGATGCAGGGCTGAGAGTTGTATGCTGGTATGTACGTGTCCTGTTGCACCTGGCAAAGAAAGTGTGTGGGCACTGGAAAAGAAACGGGTTGAAATTATGGAGCTGGAAACTGGTCTGGAAAGTTTTTCCAGGTCTTAGAGCTTCTTACAGTGATCTTTTCTAAGCTGTCAATGAAAGAGAAGTTGTAATCAACCATTCTAGAGGAAAGACTGAATTATTTTATTTTCTGTAGAAAGTATTACAAAGTCATTTGCATATGACAAAGTATATTAGGTTCCCAGGGCTGCTATAACAAAATACCACAAAGTGAGTGGCTTTAAAGATAGTAATTTACTTTTTCACAGTGTTGGAGGTTTGAAGTATAAATCAAGGTCTCAACCCTATCAATTCCTCCTGTGGGCCTCTTTCCTAGTTTCTGGTAACTTGTAGGGTGTCGGGTGTTCCTTTGCTGTTTATATATGCATCTGCCTTAGTGTCTCTCTGTGTCTGTACTCCCCTTTATAAGACACCACTCAGAAGGGATTAGGTTCAGAACCCTACTGTATTCCCCCTTGACCTCATTAATATAATGAAAGAAAGCCCCTATGTCCAAATGGGATCACATTCATAGATACAGGGGTTAGGACTTCAGTATCTATTTTTTGAAGGACACAGTTCAGTCCATAACACAAAGTAATCAAAGAGTAAGACAAAAGGACAAAAGTTAGATATTCTGGAGGTATGTAAGATAGCTGATCAAAATATGTTCTTTTGCTGGATTTTATGACAGTGGTATTAACATTAGTTTTCTGTTGCTGTGTAGCAAACCACCACAGATTTGTTGTTTTTAGGTGCTGTTGAATTGGTTCCGACTCATAGCAACCTTGTGTACAACAAATGAAATGCTGCCCAGTCCTTTTGAGTGCCTTCCAACCTGAGAGGCTCATTTATCTTCCATCATTATATCAGACAGTGTTCCACTGCTATTCATGAGGTTTTCTGTGGGCAGTTTTTTCGGAAGTAGATGCCATGTCCTTCTACCTAGTCCGTCTTAGTCTGGAAGCTCCGCTGAACTCTTTTCCACCATGTGTAACCCTGCTAGTATTTGAAATACCGGTGGCATAGCTTCCAGCATCACAGTGACACTTAAGTCACCACAGAATGACAACCTGACAGATGAAGAACTTTAACAACTTAAAGCAACACACATTTATCATCTGACAGTTTCCATGGGTTAGGGACTCGGGGTTTAGCTGGGTCCTCTGCTCAGGGTCTCATAGGAGGCAGTCAAGATTTGTGCTGGGCTGTGGTCTCATTTGAGGCTCAAGTCTTCTTCTAAGCTTTCTGGTTGCCGCCAGTTTCCTGGTATGTGGTCCTTTCTGTAGGCAGTTCATAACTTAGCCTGCTTCTTCAAGGAGAAGCTCTTTCTAGTTTGCTCAGATGGAATTTTATACAGCAAAACATAGTCACAGGAGTAATCCCATCATTTTTTCTATATTCTGTTGATTAGAAGCAAGACACAGTTTGTCTGTACCCAAATGAGGCATGACTCACTGAGGGTCACCTTAGGGTGTGTCTGCCACAGTGTGTGTCTGTTTTTAAAAATGTATAAGGAATGTGCTTTCTTTTCTCATTCTAGGTAAATTCTTACTTCTGTATCAAATATCATAAGTGTAATTTTATATTCTTAAAGGGGGCCTCCGCAATGAATAAGTTTCAGATCAAGACCTCGATTTCCTCCTGGGTCACACCCATCTGTGTTTTACAATAAAAAGCTTTTGTTTTTGATGCCTGCTTTTGTATGTCTTATGCTTGGGGCCAAAGTGAGAAATTCCGGCATAATCTAATTTACCCAAAACATTTTTGCATAAAAGGAAAGAGGCAAGTTGGGAAGCCTGCTTTGGGAATCTTTTTTGTTTACTTGTTTCTGCTTAATAACTTGTAATTTGCTTACTAAAAGTCTCTTTTTTTTTTCCTATAACAGAGGACAAGAAGGGGAATTAGGATGAGGGAGATAGGATTAGAGTAGTGATTATTATGGAGGTGGGGGAGAGGAATATTTGGCACTGTCTGGAGACATTGTTGATTGTCACAACTGTGAGGGGTGCTGCTAGAATCTAGTAGTGGGTAGAGGCCAGGGATACTGCTAAACATCCTACAATGCCCATGACAGTACTGCCCCCACCTACCTCTCCACAACAAAGAATTATCTGACCCAAAATGTCAGTAATACCAAGGGTGGGAAACCCTGGATTAGAGGAAGAGCTGTGTCAGGTTGGAGAGGAAGATCATAATGTGGGTGATTAAGAGGCACCAGGAGGCCAACTCCAAGTGCAAGCTCAAAACTGAGGCCCAACTCTACTTTGTGACTAGGATTCATTCTGCTCTGCATGTCTGCCAAGACCCTAGAAGACTAGCCATAGGAGATTAGGAGAGCTTAGTCTGAAAATGTCATTTTTATTATATATGTTTACATATGTGCATATGACAAGTTGTTATTACTGGGGGAAAAAAAAAACTACTGTTGAGTCAGTTTGACTCATAGTGACCCCTCTTGGGTTTCTGAGGCAGTATCTCTATGGAAGTAGATTGCCCAGTCTTCCTTCTGAGGAGTGGCTGGTGGGTTTGAACCGTTAGCCTTCTAGTTAGCAGTCAGATGCCTTAAGCACTATGCTACCAGAACTCCCAAGTTGTTATTAGCTGCTGCTAAGTCAGCCTCTGACTCATGGAGACTCCATGCACAGTTAAACAAAAAGCTGCCTGGTCCTGTACCACCTCCATGATTGGTTGCAGATTGGACTGTTAGAGTACATAGGGTTTTCACTGGCTGATGTTAGGAAGCAGTTTGCAAAGATTTTCTTCCTAGTCTGTGTTAATGTGGAAACTGCTGAAAACTGTTTAGCATCATAGCAACACTCCACTGACAGATGAGTGGTGGCTCTGTATGAGGTGCACTGACCAGGAATTAAACCAAGTTTCCTCACGGAAGGGGAAAATTCTACCTACCATTAAATCACCATTGCCCCCAGATGGCAAGAGAGGGAGAGGAAAGATGCATACAAAGTTGTTTTCCTCTTCTCCTTCCTCACAGAAGGAAAGCTATGCTTGACCTTTGTATATTTTTCTCAGAGCTCATGTATTAGACCACCATTTGTCAGTTTATCATACTGTTGTGGCTCAAATGTTGCTGAGATGCTGAAGAACAGACTTTATGCAAGTTCAGGTTGAAGCTGAAAAAAATTAAAATAAATTCACGAGAGAAAAAGTACTTGCATATGTCTTACCTGAATTTAGAGGCAATCTTTTTTTTTTTTTTAATTGTGATTTGGGCGAAGATTTACAGAGCAAATTCACTTTACATACAGCAGTTCACATATACTTTGTCTCATGTCTTTGACCACAGTTTACTGCAATGCAAAAGCTCCCCTCCCACTTCCTCCCCATAGTTACCTCTTCCCAGTGTCCATCCCTCCATACATTCCTGCCCCCTGAGCTGTCTCCCTGTGCATAAGCATCCCTTCTTTCTCCCATGATTGTTCTCTCTAAAGAGTGTATCTACTTGAGGTAAATGTTCAACTCATATGCCTGTATTTTGTTTGGCTGGAAACCACAGGTGTGGGTTCAATTTCAGACCTGAAGGGCAGCTAGGGGCCATAGTCTCAGTGGTTCCACCAGGCTCTATTGGACCAGCAAACATGGTCCCTACCTTTTTTTT